CGAAATACTTAATGGCTAAAGTGCAAGCAATTGTTTGCATCGTTAGCTTGGTGCTCCATGGGCAAAGGTTGGGAAAGCATTGATTTGTGCCATTATTCATATGGAAAAGGTCTGAAAAGAGCCAAATATTCAAAGTCTAGCCATTGATCAGTCATAAAGATACAACAATTTTGTTGAGGAAGGCAGATGGGATCCCAATCTGTTGGAGGGTGAAACGCCAAGATGACCAAAGGCCTTCTAGGCATTGATAGATAATATTGATAAGGGTGGGTTATGTTTTGGTTGCATAGTCAATAAGGGAAATTGTTTTGCTAGTATTGGGGGGGGGGGGGGGCAGCCATATCTGCTCATTTACATTTGTTGGTTCCTCATATCTCTGTCTTCTCTTCCAGCTTCTACAATCCTGGAGAACAGTAAGCTTGTCTGCACTGATGTCAACCAGCGAGGAGCATACGCTGCCTGTCCTGCAGGTAAATGACCACAAGACCTCCAATAGACCTCAGTGTCAGTGTGATGAGATGTATACTTCATTCCAGACCACCCATGAGGTCCTAGAGATCTCAGACCAAAGAAGGACCGCTGTCACCTCCCCAGAAGAACAGGGTGGGATCAATCCAAGAAATGACAGGAGGGGAGTGCTGGATATTCAACCAAAAGCCTCTATGAGGTTATTTTTGGGGTACACCTCAGGGCTGCAAACCTCTGCACATTGTGTGTATACAGTATATGTATGATTGTAGAATGTTCTAATCTGATATTTCATCACCGCCTCCTCATTTTATGCAGATTACAGCACCACGGGGTGTTCCTGCGGGATGGGCTGCGGCTCGTGGGACATCCAATCGGAGAGAACGTGCCACTGTCAGTGCAACAATATGGACTGGACATCGGCCCGCTGCTGCAAGATCGGATCTAAGTAGAGTCTGACCACCAGAGGGGGGACGCTCATCGATGGGAGTGACACCCCTGAATAATCTCTACTATCACAATCAGCTGGGAGCTGCACATCACACAAGTTGTAGCTTCATAGAACGGCTTACGGGGCCCAACTATAAAAGGTTGAGATTGATATTTTGTGGTTTCCTTTGTGGCAAATAAAGTTTTCCTGAAAGTCTCTCATTTACTCCACCCTAAACCTGGATTCTTTCCTATTATTCCTATCAGTGGGAGGCCAGAGAAGGACATTTCCTTGGGGTGACACAACAGGTTTTCTTCAGTTTTAGCTGGGCCTCATCAATCAGATTTTATAGATTTTCCTCCTGAGGGGGCATAGAATTCTGTATTGTTCACTGCTGTGGGCACCAAGATCTGTGATTGACACTGCTGGGGCCACCAAGACATGTACTGGTCATTGCTGGGGGCCTTGAGATCTGTACTGGTCACTGTTGGGTACTGAGATCTCAATTGGTCTGTTTGGGGACACAGATATGTACTGGTACTGCTGGGTGCACTAAGATCTGTACTGGTCACTGTATGGTCACTTAGATCTCTACTGGTCACTGATGGGGGCACTGAGATCCCTAATGGTCACTGCTTGGTCACTGAGATCTAAACTGGTCACTGATAGGGACCCTAAGGCCTGTACTGGTCATTGTTGGGGACAGATATATTTACTGGTTACTGCTGAGGAGACTGAGATCTGTTTTGGTCACTACTGGGAGCACTGAGATCTCTGATGGCTACTGCTGGGGGCACAATGATCTGTATAGGTCACTGAATTCTCAACTGGTCACAGCTAGGTGCACTGAGGTCTATATGGCTCACTGCTGAGGGACACTGAAATCTGTTCTGGTCAATATTGGGGTACTGAGATCTCTAATGGTCACTTTTGGGGACACAGATATGTGCTGGTACTGCTGGGGGCACTAAGATCTGTACTGGTCACTGCTTGGTCACTTAGATCTCTACTGGTCACTGATGGGGACACTGAGATCCCTACTGGTCACTGTTTGGTCACTGAGATCTCTATTGGTCACTGATGGGAACCCTAAGGTCTGTACTGGTCATTGCTGGGGACACTGATCTTTACAGGCTACTGCTGAGGACACTGGAATCTGTTTTGGTCACTACTGGGAGTACTGAGATCTCTATTGGTCACTGCTGGGGGCACAAAGATCTGTACAGGTCCCTGATTGGTCACCGAGATCTCTACTGGTCACAGCTAGGTGCACTGAGGTCTGTACTGCTCACCGCTGAGGACACTGAGATCTGTCCTGGTCACTGCTCTTGGCACTGAGATCTCTACTGGTTGCTGCTGGGGGATATGAGATCTGTACTGGTTAATTTAAAGGGGAATTAAGATGTCTACTGGTCATTGTTGGGGGCACCGAGATCCATACTACTCACTCACTGCTGGATTCGTATTGATCACTGCTGGGGGAATTTAGGATTGTATAGGTCACTGCTGGGGGGACTGAGATCTGTACTGGTGTTAGGACCTGTAATGGAGACCAGTTGCCAGAAACCTCCGATTAGGGACAGTTCTTAGTGGAAGGAATCAAGTAGTCCAGATCACAAGGTAGCAGAGAATCAGCTTCAGGGGCACAAGCCAATGTCGGTAGCAAGTAGTAATAGAGGAATCACAGAGCAGCAGGCAGGACTATGTGACATAACAATAATCTGGCCAGGAAGAAGGAAGGACCCAAATGGCTAACCAATCACCCTGATTGGCCACGTCATCCGATGCAGGTGAGACTCCCAGCAACTGTAATGTTATGCAGAACTATGACAATTCCAAAGCCAAAAATGAGTGAGAAAAACAGGCAAGTAATGCTCCAGTCCATGGAGGACCAGTGCTGAACACTGACAGGCTCAACTCCCGAAAAACTGCCCACTGCTGGGGCACTGAGATCTGCACTGGTCACTGCTGGGGCCACTGAGATCTGTACTGGTCACTGCTGGGGTCAGATCTGTACTGGGTCATTGATGAGGCCACTTAGATCTGTACTGGTCACTGCTGGGGCCACTGAGATCTGTACTATGGTCACTGCTGGGGCCACTGAGATCTGCACTGGTCACTGCTGGGGACACTGAGATCAGTACTGGTCACTGATGAGGAGGACACTGAGATCTGTACTGGTCACTGCTGGGGACACTGAGATCTGTACTGCTCACTGCTGGGGATACTGAGATCTGTACTGGTCACTGCTGGGGACACCGAGATCTGTACTGGTCACTGCTGGGGACACTGAGATCTGTACTGGTCACTGCTGGGGACACTGAGATCTGTACTGGTCACTGCTGGGGCCACTGAGATCTGTACTGGTCACTGCTGGGGCCACTGAGATCTGTACTGGTCACTGCTGGGGACACTGAGATCTGTACTGGTCACTGCTGGGGACACTGAGATCTGTACTGGTCACTGCTGGGGACACTGAGATCTGTACTGGTCACTGCTGGGGCCACTGAGATCTGTACTGGTCACTGCTGGGGACACCACGATCTGTACTGGTCACTGCTGGGGACACCGAGATCTGTAGATCTGGGGACACCGAGATCTGTACTGGTCACTGCTGGGGACACCGAGATCTGTACTGGTCACTGCTGGGGACACCAAGATCTGTACTGGTCACTGCTGGGGACACTGAGATCTGTACTGGTCACTGCTGGGGACACTGAGATCTGTACTGGTCACTGCTGGGGCCACTGAGATCTGTACTGGTCACTGCTGGGGACACTGAGATCTGTACTGGGGACTACTGAGATCTGTTATGGTCAATGCTGGGGCTGGGGACACCGAGATCTGTACTGGTCACTGCTGGGGGCACCGAGATCTGTACTGCTAGTTAAGCTGTTTGAATGAAGGACTCTGAGCCCCCTTGGCCTGGGCTGCGCATCATACATGGTGTCAGGTTTCCTCCTGCCACGGTGACCATTCCTGGCTCCTCTTCTCTACGTTTCTGGAGAATTTTGCTCATTATGGACAATTCTCAGGCGATTAAACAACAAACTATATCTCCAGCTAATCGTTGACTTGGTTGTGAAACTCCCAGAATGTCGATCCCCGGTATATACTCACTTATCTCCGATGTAACATTGTCTTCCTGGAAATCCCATCTCTGGTTCTGGCCGGGATACACCTGAAGATTCAGTGTGTGAATGTGTGTTATATATAGGAAGCCCCCCCCCCCCCCCCACAGATCCTGAATTGAATTACAGAGAAGGGGTCTCTATACCTTCTAAGCAAAGGGCCAGTTTACTGTCTTCAGACTTTAGGAGGGATGGATTGTGGCCAGTGAGAGCAGAAAATGCTTCAGACTTGGTGGTCAATCAGGGTAAATGCCTGTGGGCAGTAAGAGGAGGAATAGTGCCCCATCATTGGTGTCAGTGAGAGGAATAGTGCCCCGTCATTGGTGTCAGTGGGAGGAATAGTGCCCCATCATTGGTGTCAGTGGGAGGAATAGTGCCCCATCATTGGTGTCAGTGGGAGGAATAGTGCCCCATCATTGGTATCAGCGGGAGGAATAGTGTCCCATCATTGGTGTCAGTGGGAGGAATAGTGCCCCATCATTGGTGTCAGTGGGAGGAATAGTGCCCCATCATTGGTATCAGTGGGGGAGGAATAGTGCCCCATCATTGGTGTCAGTGGGAGGAATAGTGTCCCGTCATTGGTGTCAGTGGGAGGAATAGTACCCCATCATTGGTATCAGTGGGAGGAATAATGCCCCATCATTAGTGTCAGTGGGAGGAATAGTGTCCCCATCATTGGTGTCAGTGGGAGGAATAGTGCCCCATCATTGGTGTCAGTGGGAGGAATAGCGCCCCATCATTGGTGTCAGTGGGAGGAATAGTGCCCCATCATTGGTGTCATTGGGAGGAATAGTGCCCCATCATTGGTGTCAGTGGGAGGAATAGTGCCCCATCATTGGTATCAGCGGGAGGAATAGTGTCCCATCATTGGTGTCAGTGGGAGGAATAGTGCCCCATCATTGGTGTCAGTGGGAGGAATAGTGCCCCATCATTGGTATCAGGGGGAGGAATAGTGCCCCATCATTGGTGTCAGTGGGAGGAATAGTGTCCCGTCATTGGTGTCAGTGGGAGGAATAGTGCCCCATCATTGGTGTCAGTGGGAGGAATAGTGCCCCATCATTGGTGTCAGTGGGAGGAATAGTGCCCCATCATTGGTGTCAGTGGGAGGAATAGTGTCCCATCATTGGTGTCAGTGGGAGGAATAGTGCCCATCATGGAATGGTGCCCCATCATTGGTGTCAGTGGGAGGAATAGTGCCTCATCATTGGTGTCAGTGGGAGAAATAGTGTCCCATCTATGGTGTCAGTGGGATGAATAGTACCCCATTGTTGGTTCCAGTGGGAGGAACCGTGCCCTAAGAACTGGATAAAGGCAAGCAAAGGGCCACATCTGGTCCGTGGGCCACAGTTTCGAGACCACTGTTATAGAGCAAGAATACTCTCTTGTACAATCAGAATCCGCAATCACCTGCAATAGGCAGACAGAAGGGTGAGTTCTATAATAAGGGATTGAAGTGTTCGGTCCAAATTCTCTGAATACAGTGAGGTACGATTCTCAACTCAACTGGGAAATTACATCTTTAGAATTTACACTCAAAGACAAATCTGATTCTGAGATGACAGTCCTATCTGAACTACAACCCCAATTCCAAAAAAAGTTGGGGCACGGTGTAGCCTCCTCTGTTCTTTTCTGTAATTGTCTGGGAACAGCAGAGACCAGTTGCTGGAGTGTTCGGAGAGGAATGCTGTCCCATTCTTGCCTGAAGGTATGCTGCTCAAAAGCCTGGATATCTATCAGCATTTATGGTCCTTACACCTAACCAGCTGCCCACCGAGCTGCAACCACAACAGCCCCAAGAAGCCCTCAACATTCCATATATCATGACTTCCTTCTTACTACTGTCTTGTAATCACAATGTCTTTTCAAACAATTTTTGTATCTCAGCTGCCACAAATAGATTTCCAAACCCTCCACGGTTCAGCCTCTGTTTGGATCTTCTTCTACTTCTTGTTATAATAAAAATGATTAAAGAAAAAAAAAAATAAAATAGTGCCTATGGGCACCTCTCATTCCTCACAGACAACATCCCATATTCCGGGCTCAGGAAGGGAGGTAGAAATCACAAAACTCAAAACTTTGAGGTTGTCATAAACTCAACAATCTGAGGTCATAAAAAAGTCGGAAATCTGAGGTCATCACAACCTCAACAATCTGAGGTCATCAAAAGTATAAAATCTGAGATCATCGTAAAACTTGAACATCTGAGGTAATCAAAAACTTCATTGAGACTATTAGGAGAGACACTTAGCAGTTTGCCAGAAATAGAAAGTCTTGATCATGATTGGAGAGCGTTAGGAAAACAAGAAATTTTAGTAACAGCCACCAAATGTTTTTTAAAAGTGGCACTACGAGAGAGGATGTGACCATTGCTTTGCTCATTGTCCAGTAATGTGTGTAGGTACAAACATTGAAGCTCCCTGAACATTCTCAGAGACCCCCAAAAACTACCATAGTCCCTCAGAAATTCACGCAGATTCTTAGAGCCCACCAGAGATCTCCACATATACTTAGAGAGCACTGGAGACCAACAGAGATCTCTATAGTTCTTGAGACACCCTCTCAGATACTTAGAGACCTCCAAAGACACTCCATAGATCTTCAAATACCCTTGGAGATCGTCACAGTTACTCAGAGATCCCCAGATCCTTAGAGAACAACAGAGATCCCAATAAACCCTTGGAGAACCCCACAGTTCCTCAGAGACCCCCTCAGACCCTTGGAGAGCTCAAAAGACAGAGATTCCCAAAGATTCTTAAATACCCCACCATTCCTCAGAGGCCTCTGGTGACCACCAGAGATCTCCAAAGATCCTCAGAGACCAACACAGATCTCCCCAGAGACCACCATTAACTCCCTACAGATTCTCAGAACCCCCAGAGACTAACAGAGAGTCAAAGAGACCAACAATGATCATGACAGATCCTTAGAGACAAACAGATCCAAATAGACCCTTGGATGTCCCCACAGTTCCTCAGAGACCCCCACAGATTCTTAGAGACCTCCAAAGACCGACAGAGATTACCAAAGTCTCTTAGATACCCCACCGTTCTTCAGAGACCTCTAGTGACAACCAGAGATCTCCAAAAATTCTCAGAGACCTGGGAGACAAACACACATTTCCTCAGAGACTACTATAGATCCCCACAGATTCTCAGAACCACCAGAGACTAACAGGGATTCCCAAATATCCTTAGAGATTCAAAGAGACCAACAATGGTCACAACAGATTCTCAGAGACAAACAGAGATCCAAATAGACTCTTGGAGAACCATACAGTTCCTCAGAGACCCCCTCAGATCCTTGGAGACCTCCAAAGATTTACAGAGATTCCCAAAGATTCTTACATATCCCACTGTTCCTCATAGACTTCTGTTGACCACCAGAGAACTCCAAAGATCCTCTGAGACCTCAAAGACCAACACAGATCTCCACAAAAACCATCATAAACCTCTACAGATTCTCAGAACCACCAAAGACTAACAAAGATTCCCACATATCCTTAGAGATTCAAAGAGACCAACAAAGATCACCACAGATCCTCAGAGACAAACAGAGATCCAAATAGACCCTTGGAGATCCCCATAGTTCATCAGAGACCCCCTCAGATCTTTAGAGATCCAAAGGGACTAACAATGGTCACCTCAGATCCTCAGAAATACCTCCAGAGAAGCCATAGAAGACACTGTGTGATCAGTAGAACTAGTAAAACAAAATAATTGGAGAATATAAAAGTTCTGCAGCTGATAACAAAGATAACAACTTTCTGATAGAATCCAATAAATCAGAATAATGGGGAGATTGCTGTGTGTGGGCTCCGCATGTGAGAATGATGTACAGCATATACATCTTCTGTCATGTCCCGTATTACACCATTATTGCACCTTTCTGCACATAACCATGTCATGAGCTCGTATGTCGGAGTATGAATTACAGATATGCCTACCGTGCTCTATACCACCCTCCAAAGGAGACAGAAGGTGGGTCAGCCCACTGGTTCCCACCCCTCACAGTCCTGTTTTTCATCACAATATGCCAACTAACCAATCAGAATAATAGCAGATCAATAAAAAAGTTGGAGTGTTTTTGTTCTGCCAAAGTTAACAAAAGCAAAATGTTGGCAACCAAATCTCAAGTCCGAGATATTATGCTGCAATCTGTACCATCGGTGAGGTCTCCTCTGGAATGTCAGCTCTGCGGGCACAAAACGGAGGTGGTACCTCAAAGAATACACATTCTGTCCTCTTTCATGGATATCTCTGGCAGAAAAGTGGCTGGACTCCCGCAGGGGAAGGTTTAAAGAGGAAAATGACTCCTCCCCTGCTGTGATTGGTGGAAGGTCGGTTCCCATCAGGTATATAAGTGTCCTCTTACTTTCAGGACATGTAGAACTTCTTGCATATCTGTCAGGTAAGAGTTATGGAATGGCGGGGGGAGGGCTTAGTCCTCTACGGGGGGACCTGAATCTTTATATCACTGAGATAATGATGAGATCCTGGGTTACTGTAGCATATATAGAGCTCAGGGGGGATTTACTAAAGGAGTGGAGCAGATTCACTCTTCCAATTATCCCCATTCAGGGGCGGACTGACCATTTAGCCACTCGGGCACTGCCTGAGGGCCTGGGGTCAGTAGAGGGCCCCATGAGATGCCCCTGGTACCTTTCATAGGCTTTTTTCAGGTGTGGTTTGAGTGTGGGCATGGACACAGGGGCCCCATGATTTCCTATTGCCCGGGGGCCCCATAAGTTGTCAGTCCGCCCCTGCCCCCATTACTATCTATATATGGAGAGTCTATGGGATTCACACCAGAAGTAAATGCAGGGACTTCCACAAGACAAATTCCTCTTCTGTAATCTTCCCAAATAAATTCTGGTGGTACAAAACTCCATTTAAAGCTCCATAAAAGCTGCTCCGGGCTTCACCATTATACTCCACCTTAACGTTGGTGAAATACAGGAAGCCAGAGGAGGAATGTTCCTCAAGCTGGTGTTACCATTATGTCCTTCAGTTTTGTTGCATTTTGTTTAACAAATGGAAGGACAATGTATGAAATCCCTTCTTCAGCTCTGTGTATACAAAGGAGCATGGGGGGGGCTCTTGTCCATAATGAGGGGGTGGTACTGACACCCCCCAGATGATCCACATTGGCTCACAATTGATATGATCCAGAAATATTTAGACAGAATAAAGGTGAATAAAGCCCGTGGACCGGATGTCATACACCCACGGGGCCTTAAAGAATTGAGCTCTGTCATTTCACAGCCATTGTTTCTCATTTGTAGGGCCTCTTTAATGACTGGCATAGTACCACGGGATTGGCATAAGGCCAATGCGGGGCCAATATTTAAAAAGGGGACAAAATCTTTCCCAAGTAATTATAGAGCTGTTAGTGTAACTTCTATAGTTGGGAAGATACTGGAGAGTTTAATAAAAGACCACAGAGAGGAGTTCTTGCTGCAAACAAATATTGTAAGCAACAGACAGCATGGATTCATGAAAGACAGAAGTTGTCACGCAAATCTGATTTCTTTTTATGAGGTGAGCAAAAACCTTGGACAGAGGGGTAGTGGTGGACGTGGTATACTTGGAAAGAGGGGTGGGGGTAGACGTGGTATACTTGGAAAGAGCGGGTGGCGGTGGATGTGGTATACTTGGGCAGAGGGGTGGCTGTAGACGTGGTATACTTGGACAGAGGGGTGGGGGTAGACATGGTATACTTGGACAGAGGGGTGGGGTAGACGTGGTATACTTGGACAGAGGGGTGGTGGTGAACGTGGTATACTTGGACAGAGGGGTGGTGGTGGGTGTGGTATAAGTGGACAGAGGGGGGGTGGCGGTGGACGTGGTATACTTGGACAGAGGGGTGGTGGTGGGTGTGGTATAAGTGGACAGAGGGGTGGCGGTGGACGTGGTATACTTGGACAGGGGGGGGGGTGGCGGTAGACGTGGTATACTTGGACAGAGGGGTGGCGGTGAACGTGGTATACTTGGTCAGAGGGGTGGCGGTGGACGTAGTATACTTGGACAGAGGGGTGGCGGTGGACGTGGTATACTTGGACAGAGGGGTGGTGGTGGGCGTGGTATAATTGGACAGAGGGGGGTGGCGGGGGACGTGGTATACTTGGACAGAGGGGTGGCGGTGGACGTGGTATACTTGGACAGAGGGGGGTGGCGGGGACGTGGTATACTTGGACAGAGGGGTGGCTGTGGACGTGGTATACTTGGACAGAGGGGTGGTGGTGGACGTGGTATACTTGGACACAATTCCCCACACACGGCTAATGTGTAAGGTAAAGTCTACGGGCTGGAAATATCTGAATGTAAATGGATAGAAAACTGGCTAAAAGATCGTATTCAGAGAGTAGTGGTTAATGATTCATACTCTGAATGGTCTAGGGGTGTCAGTGGTGTACCCCAAGGTTCAGTGTAATTAGTGGGGGACCCCAAGGTTCAGTGTTATTAGTGGTCCCCCAAGGTCCCCCAAGGTTCAGTGTTATTAGTGGTGTACCCCAAGGTTCAGTGTTATTAGTGGTGTACTCCAAGGTTCAGTGTTATTAGTGGGGTACTCCAAGGGTCAGTGTTATTAGTGGGGTACCCCAAGGTTCAGTGTTATTAGCGGGGTACCCCAAGGTTCAGTGTTATTAGTGGGGTACCTCAAGGTTCAGTGTTATTAGTGGGGGACCCCAAGGTTCAGTGTTATTAGTGGGGTACCCCAAGGCTCAGTGTTATTAGTGGGGTACCCCAAGGTTCAGTACTATTAGTGGTGTCCCCCAAGGTTCAGTGTCATCAGGGGTGTACCCCAAGGTTCAGTGTTATTACTGGTGTCCCCCAAGGTTCAGTGGGTATTAGTGGGGGACCCCAAGGTTCAGTGGTATTAGTGGTGTCCCCCAATGTTCAGTGTTATTAGTGGGGTACCCGAAGGTTCAGTGTCATTAGTGGGGTACCCCAAGGTTCAGTGTTATTAGTGGGGTACCCCAAGGTTCAGTGTTATTAGCGGGGTACCCCAAGGTTCAGTGGTATTAGTGGAGTACCCCAAGGTTCAGTGTTATTAGTGGGTACCCCAAGGTTCAGTATTAATTAGTGGGGTACCCCAAGGTTCAGTGGTATTAGTGGTGTCCCCCAAGGTTCAGTGGTATTAGTGGTTGTCCCCCAAGGTTCAGTGTATTAGTGGGGTACCCCAAGGTTCAGTGTCATCAGGGTGTACCCCAAGGTTCAGTGTTATTAGTGGTGTCCCCCAAGGTTCAGTGGTATTAGTGGTCCCCCAATGTTCAGTGTTATTAGTGGTGTCCCCCAAGGTTCAGTGGTATTAGTGGTGTCCCCCAATGTTCAGTGTTATTAGTGGGGTACCCCAAGGTTCAGTGTTATTAGTGGGGGACCCCAAGGTTCAGTGGTATTAGTGGGGTACCCCAAGGTTCAGTGGTATTAGTGGTGTCCCCCAAGGTTCAGTGGTATTAGTGGTGTCCCCCAAGGTTCAGTGTATTAGTGGTGTCCCCCAATGTTCAGTGTTATTAGTGGGGGACCCCAAGGTTCAGTGTTATTAGTGGGGTACCCCAAGGTTCAGTGGTAGTAGTGGGGTACCCCAATGTTCAGTGGTATTAGTGGGGTACCCCAAGGTTCAGTGTTATTAGTGGGTACCCCAAGGTTCAGTGGTATTAGTGGTGTCCCCCAATGTTCAGTGGTAGTAGTGGTGTACCCCAATGTTCAGTGGTAGTAGTGGTGTACCCCAATGTTCAGTGGTAGTAGTTATACATTATTCATGTCACATTTGGGGTCAGAGTTGTCGGCTGTATTTGTGGAATAGAAGGAATCGGTATCTGTGAAGTCGGTGGTGACAATCTGGGTCTCCACACACAGACATCACCTGTCGCTCTCCATCCCTCAGGTGTTCCTGGACTCTGGAAGATGAAGCTTCTGCTTTGTTTCCTTTTCCTGTCTGCGGTCTCAGCAGAAATCAGCAACTGTGGTGGGGAATGTTGTCTGAAAGATGTCGTCTCCCTCACAAACCTCATGAAATCTATGGGTAGGTCTCACTCCACTGACTTGTGGTATTTCCATCTACTACAGTGCCTTGATAAAGTCTTTACCCCCCTGAAATGTCCCCCATGTTGTCATGTGACAACCAGAACCGTCATTGTATTTATTGGGATTGGATGTGATGGACCGACACAAAGTGCCACATAATTGTGAAGTGGAAGGAAAATGAGAAATGGTTTCCAATATTTGTGACCAATAAATCTGTGAAAAGTGTGGCGGCATTTGTATTCAGCCCCCTTTACTCTGATACCCCTAACTAAAATCTAGTGAAACCAATTGCCTTCAGAAGTCCCCTAATTAGTACATAGAGTCCCCCTGTGTGTCATGTGATCTCAGTATAAATCCAGCTGTTCTGTGAAGCCCTCAGAGGTTTGTTAGACAACATTAGTGAACAAACAGCATCATGAAGGCCCAGACAGGTCAGGGATAAAGTTGTAGAAAAGTTTAAAGCAGGGATAGGTTATTTAAAAGCATCCCAAGCTTTGACCTTCTCACGGAGCACTGTGTTCAATCCATCATCCAAACATGGAAAGAGTACGGCACAACTGCCAACCTACCAAGACATGGCCGTCCACCTAAACTGACAGGCCGGGCAAGGAGAGCATTCATCAGAGAAGGAGCCAAGAGGTCCATGGCAATTCTGGAGGAGATGCAGAGATCACAGCTCAGGGGGGAGAATCTGTCCTCAGGACAACTATTAGTCGTCACTCCACAAATCTGCCTTTATAGAAGAGCGACAAGAAGAAAGCCATTGTTGGAGGAAAGCCATAAGAAGTCCGTTTGGAGTTTGTGAGAATCCATGTGGGGGACACAGCAAACATGTGGAAGAAGGCTCTGGTCAGAGGAGACCAAAATGGAACTTTACAGCCTAAAAGCAAAACTCTATGTGTGGCGGCAAACTTATACTGCCCATCCCCCTGAAACACACCATCCCCACTGTGAAACATGGTGGTGGCATCATGTGGTGCATCATGTTCTTCAGCAGGGACAGGGAAGCTGGTCAGAATTGATGGGAAGATGGATGGAGCCAAATACAGGGCAATCTTAGAAGAAAACCTGTTAGAGTCTGCAGAAGACTTGAGACCGGGGCGGAGGTTCCCCTTCCAGCAGGACAACGACCCGAAACATCCAGCCAGACCTACAATGGAATGGTTCTGATCAAAGCATCTTCATGTGTTAGAATGGCCCAGTCACAGTCCAGACCCAAATCCAATGGAGAATCTATGGCCAGACCTGAGAATTGCTGTTCCCAGACGCCCTCCATCCAATCTGATAGAGCTTGAGCGATTCTGCAGAGAAGAACGGGCAGAAATGTCCTCCACCCCCCTCTGCCAATTATTCCACAGGCTTCCATTCAGTGTCTGCCACCCCTCTCTGCCAATTCCTCCACTGGCCTTCATTCTGTGTCCTCCACCCCACTCTGCTAATCCATCTACTGGCCTCCACTCAGTGTCCTCCACCTCCCTCTGCCAATCCAGCCACTGGGCTCTGCTAGGTGTCTTCCACCTTTCTCTGCCATCCCTCTACTGACCTCTGCTTTGTGTCCTCCACCCCTCTCTGCTAATCCTTCCACTGGCCTCTGCTTTGTGTCCTCTACTCTCTCTCTTCTCTCTCTGCCAATCCCTCCACAGGCCTTCACTCAGTGTTCTCTCCCCCCCCCCCCCCCTGCCAATCTATCCACTGACCTCTGCTCTGTGTCCTCCACCTCTCTCTGCCATTCCCTCCACTGGCCTCCATGCAGTGTCCTCCACCCTTCTCTACCATTCTCTCCACTAGCCTCTCCTCTCTGTTCTCCACCCCCCTGCCAGTCCCTCCACTGGCTTTCACACAGATTTCTCCATCTCTCTCCACTGACCTCTGCTTCATGTCCTCTACCCCTCTCTTCAATCCCTTCTGGCTTCCATTCATTTTCCCCTACCCCTCTCTACCAATCCCCCAACTGGCTTTACTCAGTGTTCTCCATCCCTCTCTTCCAATCCTTCAACTGGCCTCTGCTCAGTGTCCTCCACCCCTCACTGACAATCCCTCCACTGGCCTCCATTCAGTGTCCTTTACCCCTCTCTACCAATCCCTCCACTGGCCTCCATTCGGTGTCCTTCACCCCTCTCTACCAATCCCTCCACTGGCCTCCATTCAGTGTCCTTCACCCCTCTCTACCAATCCCTCCACTGGCCTCCATTCAGTGTCCTCCACCCCTTTCTACCAATCCCTCCACTGACCTCCTTTCAGAATCCTCCACCACTCTCCTCTAATCCCTCTACTGGCCTCCATTCAGTAACGTCCACCCCTCTCTTCAAATCCCTCCACTGGCTTCCATTCACTTTCCTCCACATCTCTCTACTAATCCCTCCACTGTCCTCCACCCCTCTCTGATAATCCCTCCATTGGCCTTCATTCAGTGTCCTCCATCCCTCTCTACCAATCCCTCCACTGGCCTCCATTCAGTGTCCTCCATCCCTCTCTACCAATCTCTCCACTGGCCTCCATTCAGTGTCCTCCATCCCTCTCTACCAATCTCTCCACTGGCCTCCATTCAGTGTCCTCCATCCCTCTCTACCAATCCCTCCACTGGCCTCCATTCAGTGTCCTCCACCCCTCTCTACCAATCCCTCCACTGGCTACTGATTGCCCAACAAATAAAATTCTACACAACAACATACAAAGTCATATATAACAGCTGGACTGGCTCCCAATTATGTAAGCACTGTGACAGCCAATTACAGCAGTCAAGTGATTGGTCAGTCCTTTCCACACCTATGTAAGGAATGCTGGGACTGGGCGGGGCTAAAGCCCATGTAAATGCAACCAATAAACCTCTTTTGGTCCATTTAATATGCCAATAAAAGCATTTTGTTACTTCTGTTCGATAAATACAAATATCTGCTGATCCTGTCAGAAATCCTGCGGGCTGATAACTTTCTGTGCTCACTGTTATAGTTCCCCCGACATCTATGAGGACTACAGAGCCTTCCCTATATTTTGGGGGGCAGAAGAGAGGGGTAGAGGTTTTGTAATCCATTCCTAGAATGACAACTCTGCTCATAAATACAGTACAGTGAGTGAGTTGTCACCCTAGGACAGGAAGTGTGTTACCGGCAGGATCACCAGATGAAAATAAAGGGGAGAAAAAATGAAATAAGAAACTGAAGGCAGTTATCTC